GCTGTCGAATGATTTAGGAAATCCCAAACCTTTCCACATTACGCGACCCTGATCTGTGAGTGCCAACTTCAGTTCAGAATTATAGAGTAGTCTAAAAATTAAATTAGTTAAAACAGGGTGTCAGCAATAGAATTTTCAAGTTAATACACGTAGAAGACTTGCAACTTAATGAATTTTTCTGGCAGCTATTACGCTCAATTTGTCGGGCAAATTAAGGTGCAGTGTCAGAATAAGTCGGGGTCTGGTGGATGTCTCTTATTAGAAATATTTGATCTAGTTTTGAGGACTCAAGATAAGGCTTAAGAATTTGAATGTGTGGGTAAGCTAGCCGCAATAAATTTAGTGGCCCAGTGATTTGTTTGGGCCATTTAATCCGCAAATTTTTTAACCATAGCGGTAGTCCCGAAAACGATTCTTGGTTGATAATTGAAGATCACTCTGTCAAAGACGAAGTGTTCTTTGAATGCTCCCCCAATATAGTTTAGTCTTTTGCCACGTATTCTTCTACGGCTTTCTTTCCCTTCATCTCTGATGTGTCCTTCTTTGCTTCCAGAAGGTCTTTTGACAGCTCCGGTATTCGACAGTCGCACCAAGCCTGATCTCTTAATGTAATTGGTTGTAATTTTGCTGCTAACGATTGGAGGAATATTACAGTTTGCTTTGGCAGTTTATCGACCAGCTTTAGGCGACGTTTCGGATTGCATGTTTGTCGTTGCGGTGATCACAGTCATATCCAATTGCTGTCGGCTAGTTTGATACCATTGCCAAATTGCTGCAGTAGTCATTAAATTTTTCCAGTCTCAGCCGGAACTTGTTGAAATAATATTGGAGATAGAACGTTCTTTGTCGCTTGACTCTGTTTCTTGTGTTGTTGTATCTTTCCAGTGGGGAAAGTAATTGCAATTTTTTCTTCTTTGATAGGTTTTAATAGGTTTTATCGTATTTCTTTCAATGATAATCTGCTTTAGCATGAGATTTGCTTCACTTCCTAGTTATCGGTTTAAATGATGGTATTTTAAAAGCCCAATCACCGTTCCATATCCAGTATTCTCGGTGTCTGAGTAAAAAACAAACTCGTCTTTGTGTGCATCTTTGAAGATTTTCGGTGCCAGGCATTAAATTTGATTTGACTGATTCTTTGTGATTTGAAAGTGTATTTCCAAGCTTATTTCGTCATTGGGCACAGTTGTCTTCATGATTACTTTTTTCCACCTTGCTGTTGTCTGATATCGTAAGGAGCTAGCTCTGTCCTCAGCACCCGGTTGAGCCGAGTATCTATACCGAATGATAAAATAACAGAGTAACACACAAAAAAAGATGAACCCAAACAACACCAGCTTTAGAATCTACGGTAGAGATCACAACGTGCTTACTAAGCACGAGTTGAAAAAAAAAAACAAGGAATTTCACAGTGCAAACAAAGAACTTGCCGAATAAAATTGGAACTAAAACACTAGACCATAATACCGTTATCAATGATGACACGAACAATAACAATTTTATGACTCTAATGACTCTTTTCATAGACTGATTTCTATTCGCCTAGGTGTCAGCTCTGCAACCCCGCCCAGATCCTTCTCCTGGAGAGCTACGGTAACTGTCGCGACAGTACGCGAAAGGCGAGCTCACACTACAGGAGACGGTTCCTATTTGGCTCTTAAGGGAAGCTCCTAAAAATCAAATAACAGATCAATCCGCTAAATACATACTATATAAGCAGTCGATCAAAGGTGCTGGGGTCAAACGTATTCAGACATATTCAGTACTCAACGGTACAACAGAGTCTATTAAGGTCAATATTACCTGAAGTTATAGTACCAATAGATATTTTATTCTTATTTTTATCTAACTTACTGCGCGTTTCGTTCAAGATCTATTATCAAATCAACATTCATCTATCAATTTGCTCTATTTGTACCTTATTTAATCACGTGCTCATTTGGCAGATTTATTCTGCTGCTACTTTAGTGGTTTTACTTTAGTATTATTATTATTATTATTATTATTATTATTGCTATTACT